GAGAGAGAGAGAGAGAGAGAGAGAGAGAGAGAGAGAGAGAGAGAGAGAGAGAGAGAGAGAGAGAGAGAAGTCTCACGTCCTAATCGACCTTGATCCTCGCTTCTTCCTAACCGGCCCTACCCGGGACTTCCCGTGCCTCCCTTGCGGCCCCTCCGGCCCTCGAGTGGATGAGGGAGGTGATAACCGAAGGAGGGTTGGAGGTGGTAGGCTATGGCGGACGGGTGTGGGTGATGGAGGAGGATGAAGGGTTGGAGGTGGTTGACTATGGTGGACGGGTGTGGGTGATGGAGGAGGAAGAAGGGTTGGAGGTGGTCGGCTATGGCGGACGGGTGTGGTTAATGGAGGAGGGAGAAGGGTTGGGGTGGTCCGGCTATGGTGGGCGGGTGTGGGTGATGGTGGAAGAAGAAGGGTTGGAGCCGGTCGGCTATGGTGGACGAGTGTGGGTGATGGAGGAAGAAAAACGGTTGGAGGTGGTTAGCTATGGTGGACGGGTGCGAGTGATGGAGGAGGGAGAAGGGTTGGGGTGGTACGGCTATGGTGGATGGGTGTGGGTGAGGGAGGAGGAAGAAGGGTTGGAGGTGGTCGGCTATGGTGGACGGACGTGGGTGATCGAGGAGGAAGAAGGATTGAAGGTGGTTGGCTATGGTGGACGGGTGTAAGTGATGGAGGTGGAAGAAGGGTTGGGGGTGGTCGGCTATGGTGGACGGGTGTGGGTGATGGAAGAGGGGGAAGGGTTGGAGGTGGTCGGCTATGGTGGACGGGTGCGGGTGATGGAGGAGGAAGAAGGATTGGAAGTGGTTGACTATGGTGGACGGGTGTAGGTGATGGAGGTGGAAGAAGGGTTGGGGGTGGTCGGCTATGGTGGACGGGTGTGGGTGATGGAAGAGGGGGAAGGGTTGGGGGTGGTCGGCTATGGTGGACGGGTGCGGGTGATGGAGGAGGAAGAAGGGTTGGCGGTGGTTGGCTATGGCGGACGGGTGTGGGTGATGGAGGAGGAAGAAGGGTTAGAGGTGGTTGGCTATGGTGGACGGGTGTGGGTGATGGAGGAGGAAGAAGGGTTGGAGGTGGTCGGCTATGGCGGACGGGTGTGAGTGATGGAGGAGGAAGAAGGGTTGGAGG